GCACGCCCGAGGGTGTGAACGCTCAGGCGCCCAGCCCCTGGTTTTGGACCCTTGTGACCCTCCACAGGCACGGCCTCCCTGGCACTCTTTGACCTGGAGGGCGCCCCCTGGGCAGACCTGTCCCTGAGCCTGGGCGCCCCAAGCGCCCTAGAGCAGTGCGCAGCGGCAGCCGCAGCAGCAGCTGCAGCAGCAGTAGCAGCAGGAGGAGGAGCAGGAGCAGCAGCAGCAGCGCCGGCCGGCTTGATGTGCCTGTCCTCGTTCCCCGCGCGGCGGCGGCGGCTGGCGGCCGGCGCTGTCGCCCCTCTGGCGGTCAGCCGGCAGCGCGGGCTGGCCTGCGTGGTGTCTGACGTGCTGAGGGCGGCAGTGTTTGATCTCGAGGAGGACGAGGATGATGAGGAGGGGGAGGAGGAAGAGGAGGAGGCGGAAGAGGGGGATGAGGGCAGCGAACGGGGCGGCCGAGCCGGGGTCGACGGCGGCGACGACGAGATGGAGTCTTGAGTTCTGCACCTGTAAATGCTGCCCACGTCATAATGGCGTGATCAGGTCTACACCTGTGATCAGGCTGCTTGCAGGCAGCCGGAGCCGCGACTGTGGCTGGGACAGGCCCCGGCATGATCAAGATGTTTACAAGGACGAGACCTCAAAAACTGGTGCGCACTGACTTGCTGAAAACCTGGCATAGAAAATGAGTGGGCTGAGGAAACCTGGGACTCGGTCAAAAGTGGATACACAGAGTTGCGAGCGCATGCGCATGCGCGACGCATGCAGATTGTACAAAGCGCACGTGAGATGGGCAGTGCGCTGAGCGCCGCCACAACAGCCAAAGAGGAGGTTGTGTTTGGCCTGCGGATTTCTTCTCTGGTGGGGCAAAACGTTTGATTGCCTCTCCCTGGTTGTTTGTTGGTGGGTTGGACAAACTTCGGGGTATGGTGGTCGCCGTGGCGGGCGCAGGCAGCGCGTGTGCACCTGGCAGATGCTGATGTGCCCCATCCTGTCTCCGCAGCAGCCTGATACGGGCCCCAAAAACGCAACAAGCGCAGGGCGGCCGCGGCGTCGCCGGCACGTGCACATACAGGGAACTGATCGGGTGCTTATGGGGGCCCCTGCAAAGTGGGGTCGCGCTGTGACAGAGGAGGGGTTCTAACACAAACCTGAAGGTGCTTTGTGCATGGTGATCTGATTCAGGGCCTTGGTGCCCAGGCCGCGCCCCTGGGGCCAGCGCTGGCGCGGCGCGGCGGGAGCACGGGCAGGGCGCTGGCGGGGGCGCGCCGCACCCCCACAGCGGCCCGGCTGAGGCGAGAGCCCCCAATGGGATATGCTAACATGGCGCGCGCGCACACGCCGCGAGCCCAGGGGCAGCCACCTCAGCGCTCAAGGGGCCGACTCAGCCGTCGACGCCGTCCATGGCGAAGCCAAACATGTCGCCCTCTAAACCGCGCGGCTGGCGGCCGCCGCCGTGGTAGTCTAAAGACGCGCGGCGGCCGCCCTCGCCCGCGAGGTGGTGGCGGCGCGGCGCCTCGCCGCGCCGCGCCTGCAGCTGCTCGGGCGTGAGCGCGAACTGGTGCAGCTTGGGCGTCCTGCCGCACACGTAGTGGCCCGGCGGCAGCTCTCGCCACTCGCCGCCGGGCGCGCCGGCGTGCTCCGCCTCTGGTATCGCGCCCTCGCTGCTGGCGAACGCGGCGCTGCCTGCGGCGCCCGGACGGTTGCGGTGCAGGGAAAAAGGAGGCAGGGAACTGAGGTCAACAACGGAGGGTCAGGAGCAAGCACAGCGGGAGGTGGTGGTGGGTGGGCAGCCCAGGCGGCGCTGCAGGCAGCAGCATACGGACGCAGGGGCTGCCGCGGGCCCAGGCACCAGCTCGCATGCGCGACCCAAAGCGGGGCGACCCGGGCGGCAGCGCGCGCAACCAACAGCAGGCCAGGGCCCACCGTCGTCCGCGATGCGGTAGAACAGCGTCTCGGTGCCGGACGCGTCGCGCGCCGCAAAAGCGCCCCTCTTGCTGTCGACGATGACAAACGCGTACTGGCCCTGGCGAGGCGGCGACAAAGGGCGCGCGCGCGGGCTCCCGTCAATTAGTCGCGGTTTTGCGAGCTTCTTGTGCGCATGTGCATGCACGTGTGTGACGCATGCATGCGTGCATGCATGCTTGCATGCACGCGTCCATGCCATCGGCACGCGTCGCCGGCTTGGGCCCGGCGCGGCCGCTGCGCTACGCACGCCGCGCCGCAGCTTGCCGTGCTCCCCATCCCCTGGCCCTGCCCTCCCTTCCCGCCCACACCCCTCCTCCACCGCGCGCACACACACACACACACACACACACTCACACACAAACACATCTGTACACACACGCACACACTTCGCACCTGCAGCTCGCTCAGCAGCACGAGCTCGCTGTCATGCTGGTACATCGCCAGCACGACAGCCGCCGTCAGCGCCCCCATGTCCGCGCCGCGCTCGAGCGACCCCTGCCGAGCCAGCGCGGCGGCCGCCGCCGCGGCTGGC